GCTTGCATATTTGCATCATTCATCTGTATTGCATGCACCGGTCTCGGCGCATCATACTAACTGCATAGTATTTCAAATCTAACTTGAATATGTGTTATCTGTTACATTTCACATGTCGTCCTACGATTAGCCGAGCCTATTCTAGACTGCATTTTGTATGCGATACATTAGGCACTTAACATGGACTTGGATCATGCATGATTGCTAACGAGTTCTCTGTTTTGGCGCGGAGTACGATGTAAGTATTTGTGCTTTAGCATCTCGCATGAATGTGAATGGTAACATGACAGCATACTTACCATGTGGCTATGTGCTTAGTTAATATAACTGCCTGAATGCCTGTGGGTGAAGGTTGGATTGTTTGAGTTGGAACAACTTGTTGAAATCCGTGTTTTAGCCTACTTGCGAGTAACAAATTTCAAATTCTCTTTCAAATGGGCGGATATGCAATGCTTTGTTCCAAATTAGGCGATCTAGTCTATACTTTTGTGTTGTGCGCATCACATAGCAATTCTGGCTAATTAATCGGAATAAGAACGCATAATGTTTTCAAAACTCGATATCATGGTTAGTAGAGGCCGATCTTTGATCGGGCGAGTGGGGTTGCTCACGAAGTGACCTTCTCCAATCGTACCCAAGTTCCCGTGCCGAGGCAACTTTGGTGATGACGGACACGTGGCCTTAGGCAACGAGTCAGGATTTTCTAAATTTTCCAAAATAAAATATTTAGGTGGCGACTCTGTATCTAGCAAAGCAGTCCATGTTTAGCACTTCTTTCAAAAAATCTGTTTTCAAAAAACGATTTGCCGGATTTGGACTCTTTGATGATTCATCGGTCTTGCATTGCACTCTGCGAGATTAGATACAGGACCGTGACTTTTGAGTCCGAACTGTAGTGAGCCCATATGAACAAAACGGGACGGGAGATTCCCTCCCGGGACGTTTGAGGACGTCTACATGGATGTTAAGACAACTTTCTTAAACGGTGATCTAAATGAAGAGATCTATATGGAGCAACCCAAAGGGTTTGTAGTGCCGGGGAAAGAAAAGAAAGTATGTCGGCTTGTAAAATCTCTTTATGGATTAAAACAAGCACCTAAGCAATGGCATGAAAAATTTGATCATGCTATGCTTACTAATAGGTTTAAGATAAACGAATGTGACAAATGCGTCTATGTTAAAAACACTGACCAAGGATATATCATAGTTTGTCTTTACGTGGATGACATGCTTATCATTGGAAGCAGTCAAAATATAATCAAATTAACTAAACAAATGCTTAATAAAAGATTTGATATGAAAGATATGGGGCTCGCAGATGTAATATTAGTAATGAAAATTACTAAAACATCTGACGGATTTGCATTATCTCAATCACATTATATTGAGAAAATTCTTGATAAATTTATCAAGGATGATATAAATGTAGCTAGAACACTTGTAGACATCAGTCTTTATTTATCGAAAAATAAAGGTGATGTGGTGTCTCAATTAAAATACTCCTAAATCATAGGAAGCCTAATGTACCTAATGAATTGTATTCGTCCTGACATAGCTTATGCAGTCAGTAAATTGAGTAGGTACACTAGTAACCTCGGAGAAGACCATTGGAAAGCGATCATTCGGGTTCTTAGATATCTAAGATTACCCGTGATTATGGTTTGAACTTTACTTGATATCCAGTAGTACTCGAAGGTTATTGTAATGCCAATTGGATATCGGGTTCTGGGAGGCGCTGTTGTTTATTGGAAATTCACGAAACAAACATGCATCGCATGATCCACAATAGAATCTGAGTTCATTACTTTAGACAAAGCAGGAGAAGAAGCAGAATGGCTTCGTCACTTCTTATAAGACATTCCAATGTGGCCAAAACCTGTGCCAGCTATCTGCATTCATTGTGATAGTCAATCTGCAATAGGCAAGGCAAATAATCATATGTATAATGGTAAGTCACAACATATTCGTCGTCGACATAATACCGTAAAACAATTGCTCTCAAATGGAATAATCTCAATAGATTATATAAAATCCAAAGAGAATATTGCGGATCCGTTAAGAAAATGTTTGACTAAAGAGCAAGTGTATAGTTCATCAGAGGGGATGGGATTAAAACCTATTACATAAGAGTCGTCATGATGGTAATCCTACTTAGATGATTGAAGATCCCAAGAATTAAGTTCAAAGGGACAACTAAGTTATGTGTGGCTCAATAGAAATCACCAAAGGATTAAAATTCCCTACCCATTCCTATGGTGAGAGTGATATCTACAACATGTGTTGTATGCAGGGGTCTAAGGATAAGCTTAGTTTTTAATGATTACTTATATCTTGATCTAGGCATAAAAATCTAGACGAGTATAAGGAGATACTCACAATAAGAATCACCTATATGAGTGTCGAACTGGGGCCAGTTCTGTGAGAATGAAGAGGCTAAATTTTCTAGAAGCACTCACGAACAACCAGGAGCGTTCAAAGCCAAAATGAACACAACCGTGAGAACCGCGATATGTCAGAAGATATTTTGTGTAAAATCTATTGTTTTGGCTTACACAAACGGCTGAACAATTCAGGGCATCGCGCCCATTGATTAGCTAGTAAGTCCGATAGGTTATCACTAGGGAAGGTTTAAGGCCGAAAGCTACCTATCCTGATGCAAGATATTTTCCATTTATACTCTTTCAACAAATTCTGCATATTGTTGCATATCCGTTGTCATCAAATCCCATTCATGTAGAGGATTGTTAGAAATGGTTTTGGAAATTTTGGAAAAATAGAATTTTTCCTAAACTTTGGTCTAACTTTTAGGTGGGACCCATGCGCCAAAGTTGGCGGGTCTAAGTGGTAACGCATTTTATGCCGCGTTGTGATTCACATAATATATTTGATTGCTCAAAACCATTATCGAGTGAATAGGAAATTGAAGCCAAAAAGATCTCCATGGAAATGGTGTTTTTGGTGAAATTTCCTAAAGGTTTGAATAATGGCTTGACCCACATTGATTTGGTGGGCATACTTTGAGTGGGTTTATGAAGGTTTGAGTTTGGAACTTGGGGTAGGCCCCAAAGGGCACCCAAGTTTTGTAGAGAGGGAGGTTATGGACAAAGTGGGCTAGACCCATTGGACCCAAAAATTACCACACGTGTGTGCCGCCACCGCCGCCGCTAGTCCAGTCGGGCGGACTGGCCTTGGCCTGGGTGCGGGTGCGTGATGTGAGGTTAGGTTGGGCTTGTTCAGCCCAATACTTATCTTTTTGGGCCAAAAACATTTGAATTTAATTTTATTTTTTAGTAAAACAAAATCTGATCGTTTAAATTCAAATTTTGGTCGTTGGAAATTTTTTCAAATCTGTCCGAACCTTCTGTAATCTGTCCGAACAGTTTAGTTCAAGAAAAACCCTTACTTGTTTGAATTTAAATTCAAACAGATTTGTATCTGTTTAAACCAAACTGAACAAGTACCATACCTGTTGGATTAAAACCAAACAACCACAACTTCCTCTATAAATAAGACAAGTCCCTCATTTGTTTTTCCACTCCGATTTTCGTTCATCTCTGCTGCAATTCATATCTGCATTTTGCTGTATTAATTTCATTTTTTTTCTGTGAGAAAGAATGTATGCACTAAGTGTGTTCGTTGTATGAAAAATTTGTAGTGCTGTAATTTTTCGTTGTTGATCATTTTATCCTAGGAGATAGACGTCCATATTCTGAAAGCACCGTGGAGAGGACGAATCTGTCTTAAAGACACAGTGTTAAACACTGGACTTGATCAGAAAATTTGTTCAAGAAAATTAATTTGGTAAGTAATTAATTTATTTTCTACTTTATTATTTTTCTGTTTCAGATTTTCATTTTTGTTTTTGTAACAAAATAAAAATATGTTTTATTTATTTTATTTTATTTTCTGGTTTGATTTTTATAATCAAACAAATTCTCTCATTTCCTTATTTCTTCTGTATTCCGTTTGTTGTTAAGTACACAAATAGAATTTATTTTTTCAAATATAGTGAAAATTGTCCAACAATATATATATATATATATATATTGGTAAACAAAATCATTGTTGAAGGCCCCAATTTTTTGAAAAATTAAATAAAATAAGATCTCATTTTGATGTTAAGCATAAGATTTCACTAAATCGGTCTGGAAAATTATATAATAGCCCCTAAGTATCACATGACCATATTTCGTCACCAATCACCATTCATTATATTTCCTCGTGTTTCTCAATTACCCAACACAAATAAAATTTTCTTTTTTGGTAAACTCAACACAAATAATTAATACTCCACCTTCTCCATCAATCATACTATCATAGAACACCATATGACTCTACTCGCAGACTACCGAATAATTCAAGATAGAACCTTAGCACTCCACATGAGTAGGGGAGTTTATACATTGTCTCGATAATTATTTGGTAGTTCGAGAGTATGGCCACGTAGTGTTCTATGATAGGATGATTGATGGAGAAGATAGAGTATTAATTATTTGTGTTGAGTGGTTGAAAAATATAAATGGTATAATAAATGATGATTGGTGACTGACAAGATATTTATTGGAGTTGGTGACGGTAATCCTAAAAAAATATGACCACGTAATACTAAAAAATTATTGTATAATTTTCCTGTCCGGCCATTATTTTCCAAAACTTTAGGGGCAGCCTTATTACACTGAAGATTCTCTAATGATAATGTGAATTGTCTTAAACAAATGTCCAAAAAAAAAAAAAAAAAATTGAATCACAAAAATGTTTGATAACTTTAAAAATAGCACTACTACAAAATTCCAAATGGAGATTCTACATAAACTGTCGTAGTGTGTAAATTATATCAAAACGATGTCATTAAATTTTAAATTTATAGAGTGTGATCCTCTTTATTACATGTTTATAATGAAATCATTCAATATGACAAGTAATTATTTTTTTAAATTTAAAATAATTATAAATATGAATTATTATTTCATAATTATTAGATATGTAAAGAAAATCCTCCATTACAAAATAGAAGGAAAATGAATTAAGAAATAAGATGAGTCTTCTATAACCTCATTTCTCATCTTTCACTTACTAATATAATATGTGACAAAAAGATGGAGGGAAATTTAATCACTCTAAAAACACAGAGAGACAGAGTCTCAAGCATTCAATCATGGCTTCTCACAAGAGACCATTGTCAATGAACTTTGATTTCTCCTCCATATTTTCATCCGAATTGCCTCAAACAAAATTTCTGGATAATTTGTTGTACAGAACTGAAAGATGTACAACTAGGGGAATTACACAAATATATATATATATATAATGGCTATAAATATGATATCTGACTTGTCGCCCTCTCATTGGCTGTGTTTCATTCATTCAGCTGGTCCTTGAAATGCAGTATCAATCGTGATGAGATGATGATGTCTTCTGATGCTAGAATATTGCTGCATTGTTCTCTGGCGAACGATGATTTGTTGTTCTTGTTTTATTGAAGAGTCTATTTTTTTGAAATTTGCCATGGAAGCGAGTTCGTGTACAGATTCAGCAATTTTTTCTGTGCAACTGATGACATCGATCAGCAATGAAGCTACTGTAACAGCAGGGATGATCTCCAGGAGGTCTGTGTCAGGCCAGGAGTCTGTTTTGAGAGAGGATTTGACGTTTTCAGCAGCGATTTTTGAGTTTGCAATGTGGGATTTGGCCAAGGATGGCCATATTGTCATTGTTTTGATTGCTAATGATATTTCTTTTAAAGCATAGCTGCAGTCTTTGCTCATCTTTGCGAGTGATTCTTCAATTCTAGCTCGGACTAGTGGTGATGCCTGTAATATGAGTAGCATAAAATTGTCAAGTTAAACCAGTTGGTATAACCCAAAATTAAAATGGGAAAATTGGATTTAAGAGCGAACGACTCAAATTAATAATATTTTCATAGAGGTGTAAGTCAGAGTAAGTGAGAGTGATGTTATTTTTAGATCCTATAAAAAAATTAATTTTTTTTTTTTTTTGGACTTTCTTAAGCTGATCCCAAACTCACCCTTCCAAAAAAACCAACAATAGTTTTTATTATGTGTCGTGTCATAATAAAATTTTGTGAAATTTAAAACAAAATTCGCTTCAATAATATCGTAGGTGTCACATTAGTGAGTAAAACAATTGTAAAATTTATTAATTGATATGTATAAACATTACACATACTCAAAGAATCAACCTATTTACATATGATTTCTAGATATCATGCTAAAATTTGAAATGCAAAAATTTTAGATGAACACAAAACTATCGAGAAATTTTTGTATGAAGATAGGGTACCACGTGGCACTACCTTTCACTAATCACAAATGTATATGCCCACTATTGTTCCCCAAACACTCAACGTAAATATAGTGGATCCTATTGTCAAAACTAATCACGATAATAGAAGAAATCACATAGCATGTACCTATCTGCATACAAAAATTTCTCCAAAACTATCTATCAAATAATAAGAGCAGAGCACAATACCAGATTCTGAGAGTCAAGGCAGCCATTGAGAGCTTCAATTCGGCAGGCACACTGCCTAGTAATAGCTCCAATTTTCAAGTATTGTTCCCATGGATGCCTATATCTAAACCTTTTATGACGTGGCTCCCATTTTGCATAATTAGCCTGAAAAAAAAAAAAAAACAACAACAACAACAACGACAACGACAACGACCAATTTATTAATTTAGAATTTGAGTATGTTATTAATTTTTGAGGGTGAGATTATGAGGACATGAGTTAAAAAAATTTCACCCACCAGGGACTCTTCAGTGCTTTTTGAGTTAAGAACATCTTTATATCCTTTGAGAACTGATTTATCCTCATCCTTGGATTCTTCATCCCCTGTTTTGAAGTATTCACCTCCAAATCCTGCAAAGTTCACTCTACCTTGTAAATGTTACAGCTCACAATCATAATCACATACATTTATCATATTTGTTATAAAAAAATTTATTTTTAAAATCATACTTGTTATTAATTTTAAAAAATAAATAAATACAATAAAATCATGTGATTGTAATTATTGAATCAACTTGATTTTCAATTAATGTTTTACATAAAATTTTACAAAATAAATAATTTAAATTATTAAAATAATACCCGTAATAAGTCTCATAAACTAGACTGAACCAATCAAGTCCCTTATGACTAGTCATTCTAAAAAATTATGTCACCTGATGAATTTCATTTATTGTTCACTTTCTGCATCTACAAAATATGTGACGTTTGGGTAAAACTCAATGTATGTAGAAAATAATGTGACACCATTTTTTAAGTAATTCTATATTTGTAAGTCAATATTTTTTTGTAATACTTTTTTACTCATAAGAGTAGTTGTTTCAGTTATATTATTTTGGTAGGTTCCATTTTAATTATTAAAAGTTTTATTAATGCGGGTAACATCTAGATATAAGAAATGTATAGATTTCATTTAGGTCATATAAGAATTTTTTTATTTTTAATATGATAAATCGTGTTGGTGATACATAATAGCTCTGGAACATTGTAAAGAAAGAAAGGTCAAAAGTATATATATATTTTTTTTTGTGATTCTGATAATTTCGTTTCAAAAAATATTTGAGGGTAAATCAATCATGTGTTTTTATTTTTTATTTTTAGACCAATGAACCGAGTTGGACCCTCCAGTCCACCGTCTGGACTGGAGGCACGCCCGAGTCTTTTCTTTATCAAAGCAATCACTCAATCGAAAAGGACTGTTAAGAAATGTACCTTCGAGGAAGTTTCCAAGTTTTTCAATGTTGACAGCAACCAAATCATGAAGATCATCACCAGCCCAGACAGGGCAAATACAACAGCATATAATCACAGCCGTTGCTCCACCGATCAGGATTGTTGATAGCCTGACGTTGGCCTGGTGCAACACCTCATCGTCTCGATAACCCGACACACATATCAGACAAAATGTTAGTATGAATATGAGCAGCCCATAGTCATATCTTGCTTTCATTTTGGGAAAAAATCTCAGGAATGTCACCACAGCAGCTGCATCACACAAATTTATTTCAAGTAGTAAGCAACTCGGACGATATCGAAACACGTCATTTATTTACACACAAACAAATCATAAAACTAGAGATATGTGATTGAATTGTGTCTGATTCTATTCTATAATTGATTTTTATGTTTTAGACTTTTTCAAATCGAAATTAAAATTTTGGTTTGTGCAGTGAAATTACCAAATAGAAAGACAAAGAGGCCGAGTACCAATGGTTCGGTTGTCTCTCCACAAAAGCTTGATACGCGATGAGCACCAACAGCTAGACCACCTGCAACAAATGTAGCCACACTCCTATTTACACCTCTCCCAAGTGTTGCTCCTGCCAAAAATATAAATAAATAAAATTTTAAAAATCTCAAAACCCATCAGTCTTGAACTTTGAGTTTCATTGATCTACTAATGAACAACAATGCCCTTACAAAATCTGGAGAAATAATAATGTTATAGATCCAAAAAATAAAATAAAATAAAATAAAAACCTAGTTTGACAAGTAGTCGTGAAATGAATTGAGTAAACAAAATGCATTTTAATATGACTCACGCCATGCTAAATTTAAATCTATCATACGTTTCGTTTCGTTTCGTTTCCACTTTTAACTTTTTATGGTTCTATAGATAGACTATGTATGAATATGAATATATCGACCGATTCTTATTGACATTGATCCGTATATAACTGCATTTAAGACTGATTTGTATTCCGATACCATTATTCGAAATATGGTTTTGATATGCCAATATACCTACCTACTGAAAATTCGAAGACGACGACAACAGTCATGACAGCCCACATAGCAGAGATGCCAAAGCCTTCGTAGATAGGATCAAAGTAGTAGAAAAGGGAGACCAAACAAATGGCTAATCCTACTTTGAGTGAATGAATGACTCTTCTTGGATCTTCTTTTCCCAGTTTCTTTGCCTCCTCGAGAAACTCCATGACCTTGGATCTTAACTTGTCACGCAATGCCTTAAACCAATTTGATACACGAGAGAATGGTCCTACATTCTCATTACTTGGGGTTGCCATTCCTTTTGAAAGCCTCAATAAACCAACTCTCTCTCTCTCTCTCTGCAAAGAGGACTGAGTTTGTGGAGAAGTTTTCTATTTTCTTCTAGGTGGAGAATTAGGTGGGAAAGAGAGGGAGTCGGCAGAAAATTACCAAGGCTACGATGGCTACATATGTCTATGGGGTGAGAACATAACAGAGATCTCGATATTTATAAAAGTAACGGTATCACTGTTTTGAAAAGTGGGTAAAAAGTTAATTTTTGACTTTTTATTAAGTTTTTTAATTTTTTGAAAAGTGATTTGAGAATTTAGTAAAAAGTTACACTTTTTTGCTTTTTAGTTTAATATTTGTTTATGGTGTCAAATCAAATTAAAATAACTAAACTATCCTTACCCAACATAAGAGATTTATTTTTTTATTTTTTTGTCATAAACCTAATTTATAATTTTACACTTGCGTTTTTAGCACTTTCCAAATCATTTTTGTTGCGTTTTGGGCATTTGCTTTTTTTGACATGTCCAAAAACGTGCCTTTTTGCTATGTTCTCAAAACGGCGCTAAGTGGTGTCCAAAAAAGTTGGTAAAGAATTAATTTTTTAATTTTTTTTGTGGTTTTTTTTGGTTAAAAAACTAAATTTTTATGATTTTTTTTTTTTGTAAAAAAATTAAAAAGTCAAAAAGTTAATTTTTTGAGAAAATTTCCAAACCACCCCTAAATATTTTGCCAATATTTTTATGAAACATTTACACATAAATTTTAATTATGAATTTATATAGCATTAAATTTTAATTAAGATTTTTTATACGTTCAAATCTCATTAAATTTTTAATAATCAGAATTGCCCTTTAAATAATTATTATTCATCATTTATGATTATCTATAAAAGAACATGATGATTTGACATTTATTTTAATTTTCAAAACTTTAAAATATCAACTTTCAAATTGAAAAAATTAAAACTGGTAATATTCTTAGTTTTATTAGATAATTGAATCAAATCAATAAGTAGAAAGACAAAAACATTTAATCATATACTCTGTTTTTTTATCAGTTAATGAAACAATTATTTTGGAACATTACTATATAAAATTGATAATATTTTTAATTTTAAAAATTGGAAAAAAACTGATAGTACTATCAATTTTACTAAATATGACTTACTGGTTCAAATTTTTTTATATAGGATCTAAACTATCATAACATTTGTAAATGTGACTTTTAATTAATTTATTCTATTTTGGTGATCACACATCTCATATGAGTTTGAGACCCATGTGAAATATTTAATAGAAATATTAGTAAATATTTAGCATTTTCCTATTTATAATAGAAAAAATTAGCTTTACCCATTAAACTACTATTTATCTTTGAATAGTGAATTTAGTTTAGAGATTTAAAAGAAAAAGAAAAAAAAAATTGAATGAAATGTAAATGAAATATAATTATATTTCATATTTTTTTTTCACTTTTTTAAATCTCTACTTAAATTCATAATCGGAACAAAACTTTACTCATGTTATTTTTCTTAGGACAAGTTTGACAATAGACTATTTTAGCAAAAATCAAAATATCACTACCAAAAAGTTAATTATTTTATCTACTTTTTTATATGTCTTTTCATAAAAAATCAAAAAATCAATTTATAGTTTCCAAAACAGCCCTTAGTAAACTACCAGTTTAAATTATCTCAAATTATTGATATTAGTTCATTTTATTTCAAATTGTTAATGGTTTTAATATTTTGGATAAATTACAAATACACCCTTGACGTTTGATTAAAATACGAATCGCTCCCTGTGGTTTTAAAAATTACATTTCACCCCGGATGTTTCTAATTTCATAACAAATTGCCCATTTTATTAATTAATCATCAAGTTAATTAACAGTTTTTAATGATGTTAAAATTATGTTTCAATTAATAATTTAGGTAATTTTATTATTGTATAGGAGAGCAATTATGAATTTCATTTTTTTAGTTAATTCTGTTAAATAAATTTTTTTAATAAGGGGTTATTTGTAATTTTTCAAACCACATGAACAATCTGTATTTTAAGCAAATTTCAAGAAGTGTATTTGTAATTTACCCTAATATTTTTTGCGAAATATTACATTTATTGGCATTCACGTGAATCGTGAATGTGAATGAACGAGAGTATTGATACACTTTGTCGAAAACACAATGACATACGAACAGAAAATTTGTATAAAAAAATCATGAAGAATAAGGTGATAGATGAATGATGAGGTGATAGATTTATATTCATTCATTTCAAATCAAAATACTTATTATCTAATATTTTTTGTGTAACTTTTTTTATTTACTAATTATTTTCCAAACATATCATCATCTTCAAATTCCTAATTATTTTCCAAACATACCATCATCTTCAAATTCTTGCCAACGACGTGAGTAGGGGTGGTGGTTAGTCGCTTCAGTGATAGTCGGTGGAATGAGAAACTAGAATTTTAAATTTTAGTATTTTTTTGATAATTTTAAATAATAATATTAATAAAATTGTAATGAAAAATTGAAAAATAGAGAGTAGTGAATTGCTTTTTTGTGATGTAAATAGAACTACCCAAAATCTATAGTTTGAAGGAAAATTATACCTAAAAGATGTATATGATGTACACTTCATAACAAATATATATATATATATATAATATAAAAATCATAAAATGGCCTCACTTTTATAACCACAAAAGGGGTTTTTTATTTCATTACAAAAAATAAAACTTTTACTTTAAAATGCACATTATAAATTTGTCATTAGAAATATTTACTGCAAATTAACATAACACATACCAAAAAATAACATAGATCTCGATATGCCTATGGAGTGAGAACATAACATAGATCTCGATATTTATAAGAGTAACGCTAGCATTTTAAGTGACGTTTTGGAAAGTTAGTAAAAAATTAATTTTTTGATTTTTCTGTGATTTTTTTGGTTTTTTTGTGGCTTTTTTGTGTAAAAATGTTAAAAAGTCAAAAAGTTAGTTTTTTTTGAAAATTTCCAAAGCACCCCTAAATATTTTACCAATATTTTTATGGAACATTTAGACATAACTTTTAATTTTGAATTTATATTCCATTAAATCTTAATTAAGATTTTTTAGACGTTCAAATTCCATTAAATTTTTAATAGTCAGAATTGCCTTTCAAATAATTATTATTCATCATTTATGATTATCTATAAAGAAAAATGATGATTTGATATTTATTTTGATTTTCAAAACTTTAAAACATCAATTTTCAAATTGAAAAAACTAAAATTGATAATGTTCTTAATTTTATTGGATAATTGAATCAAATCAATAAGTTGAAAGGCAAAAACATTTAATCACATACTCTGTTTTTTTTCATCAGTTAATGAAACAATTATTTGAAACATTACTATATAAAATTGATAGTGTTTTTAGTTTTAAAAATTAGAAAAAACTGATAGTATTATCAGTTATGATTTACTGGTTCAAAAAATTTTATATAGGATCTGAGCTACCATAACATTTGTAAATGTGACTTTTAACTAATTTATTGTATTTTGGTGATCAAATGTCTCATATAAGTGTAAGACCCATGTGAGATATTTAATAGAAATATTAGTAAATATTTAGCATTTTCCTATTTATAATAGGAAAAATTAGCTTTACCCATTAAACTACTATTTATCCTGTATTTTGAATAATGAATTTAGTTTAGAGATTTAAAAAGAAAAAGAAAAAGAAAAAAGTTGAATGAAATGTGAATGAAATATAATTATATTTCACAATTTTTTTTTTCTTTTTTTCAAATCTCTACTTAAATTCATAATCCAAACAAAGTTTTATTCATGTTATTTTTCTTAGGACAAGGTTGGCAATAGACTATTTTAGCCAAAATCAAAATATCAATATCAGAAAGTTAATTATTTTATCTACTTTTTTATATGTCTTGTCGTAAAAAATAAAAAAAAATATCAATTTTTAGGTTCCAAAACAACCCTTAGTAAATTATCAGTTTAAATAATCTCAAATTATTGATATTAGTTCATTTTATTTCAAATTGTTAATGGTTTTAATATTTTGGGTAAATTATAAATACACCCTTAAGGTTTAATTAAAATACGAATCACTCCATGTGGTTTTAAAAATTACATTTCACCCCCGGATGTTTCTAATTTCATAACAAATTGTCCCTTTTATTAATAAATCATCAAGTTAATTAACAGTTTTTAATGATGTTAAAAATATATTTCAATTAATAATTTAGATAATTTTATTATTGTATAGGAGAGCAATTATGAAATTCATTTTTTGAGTTAATTTTGTTAAATAAAAAAATTTAATAAGGTGATATTTGTAATTTTTCAAACTACAAAATAATCTGTATTTTAAGCAAATCTGAAGGGGTGTATTTGTAATTTATCCTAATATTTTTTGCAAAATATTACATTTATTGACATTCACGTGAATCGTGAATGTGAATGAACGGGAGTATTGATGCACTTTGTCGAAAACACAATGATATATAAATAGAAAATTTATATAAAAAAATCATAAAGAATGAGGTGATAGATTTATATTCATTCATTTCAAATCAAAAGACTTATTATCTAATATTTGTTGAATAATTTTTTTTATTTACTAATTATTTTCCAAACATACCATCATCTTCAAATTCCTAATTATTTTCCAAACATACCATCATCTTCAAATTCTTGCCACCGACGTGAGGAGGGGTGGTGGTTAGTCGCTTCAGTGATAGTCGGTGGAATGAGAAACTAGAATTTTAAATTTTAAAATTTTAGTATTTTTTTGATAATTTTAAATAATAATATTAATAAAATTGTAATGGAAAATTGAAAAATAGAGAGTAGGGAATTTTATGGTATATATTTTGAAAATGATGATGGTGATGGAATATATATATATATAGAGAGAGAGAGAGAGGGAGGGAGAGAAGAGTAGAGTGAGTGTGTGCTGAGTGTGCGTGTGTCAGTGAGAAATCTGAGCCGTATGTGCTGTCAGTGTGTGTAAGTGGTGTGTATTTTCTTTTTTTTAAAGAACGAAATCTGAGCCATATATTTTTCTATAGGCAACATGGCTTTATCTGAACCCTTGGCCGGAGGAACGGATGGAGAGAGGGGCTGGAGAGGATCCGGACTCGCATTTGGGAGACGAGTTTTAAAGAAAAAAATTTCTAAAA